TTGACACTCATATACAGCCTGTTAACCAGAGTGAGATAAATAATTTTATTCAATTTTTAAATTTTTGAAAATCTAGTAAAGATGATCTTTCACATGTAGAGGAATAAAATAAAGAAATAATTACTGGGAAATAAGTAACGATGATTTTTCACTCAACTATGGATCAAGACTCAAAGATTTAAGTCCCACTTGAACTATGATCCCTATTATTCTTTGAAATCATGTTTATTGAAGTATAATTTAGCACAGAAGAAACTTAGTGTGCAGTTCTGTGAGTTTTGACAATTCATACAGTAGCAAAACTACCACCAAATCAAGATATAGAGCATTCCCATCACCCCAAAAGTTCTCTTATGTTTGTTTATAGTCATATCCTCTGCTATTACAATCCACAATTTTTAGTTCCTTCTGATCCAATCTTCTTTGCAGGTTCGCTAAGCTAATATCAATAGCTTTGCCTTTTTTGTCCTTCAGTTGGCCCTTCCAAGCACAGAAGAATTAAGAACTGTGGTTTCCAGTACAACAGCCTTAATTCCAACATGTACCTGAGTTCTTACTTTTTTTCTAATTATTTTATTGAGGTTATATTGGTTTACAACATTATGTAATTTCAGGTGTACATTGTTATATATCAGTTTCTGTATAGACTGCATTGTGCTCACCCCCAATAGTCTAGTTTTTTTTCTGTCAGCATACATATGTGCTCCTTTACCCCTTTTGCCCTCCCCCAACCCCCCTTCCCCTCTGGTAACCACTCTTCTGTTCTCCTTATCCCTATGTTTATCTTCCACATGTGAGTGAAATCATACAGTGTTTTTCTCTCTCTGTCTGGCTTGTTTCGCTGAGCATAAGACTGTCAAATTCCATCCATGTTGTTGCAAATGGGACTTTTTTTCTTTTTTATGGCTAACATTCCATTGTATATATATACCACATCTTCTTTATCCATTCATCAGTTGGTAGGCATTTGGGTTGTTTCCATGTCTTGGCTATTGCGAATAATGCTGCAATGAACCTAGGGATGCATAAATCATTGTTGATTTCATATTCTTCAGATAAATACCCAGTACTGGGATAGCTGGATTGTATGGTACTTCTATGTTTAATTTTTTGAGGAATCTCCATACTGTTTTCTATAATGGCTGCACCAGTTTGCACTCCTACCAGCACTGTATGAGAGTTCCCTTTTCTCCACATTCTCTCCAACATTTGTTATTTTTGGACTTCTTAATTATAGCCGTTCTGACAGGTGTAAGGTGATAGCTCATTGTAGTTTTGGTTTGTGTTTCCCTAATAATCAATGAAGTTGAACATGTTTACATGTGCCTGTTGGCCATCTGTAGATCTTCTTTAGAAAAATGTCTGTTCATATCCTCTGCCCAGTTTTTTGTTGTTGAGTTATATGAGTTAACATATTTTGGAAATTAACCCCTTGTCAGATATATGATTTGCAAATATTTTCTCCAAGTTGGTGAGCTGTCTTTTTGTTTTGTTGATGGTTTCCTTTGCCTTGCAGAATATTTTTAGTCTGATGTAGTCCCATTTATTTTTCTTTTGTTTCCGATGTCTGAGTAGACATGATATTAGAAAAGTTACTGCTAAGACCAATGTCAAAGAGTATACTGCCTATATTTCTTCCTAGGACTTTTATGGTTTTAGGTCTTATATTCAATTCTTTAATCCATTTTGAGTTACTTTTGTATATGGTGTAAGATAATGGTCTACTTTCATTCTTTTGTTTATTTGTTTGTTTTGCTGAGGAAGATTAGCCCTGAGCTAATACCTATGCCAATCCTCCTCTATTTTGTATGTGGGTCATCACCACAGCATGTATGTCAAGTGGTGTAAGTCTGTGTCCAGGATCAGAAGCCACAAACCCAGGCTACCAAAGCAGAGCATGCCTAACTTAACCACTATGCCATGGGGGTGGCCCCTACTTTCATTCTTTTGCACATGGCTGTCCAGTTTTCCAAACATCATTTATTGAAAAGACTTTCCTTTCTCCTTTGTATGCTCTGGGCTCCTTGGTTGAAGATTAGCTATCCATAGATGTGTGGTTTTATTTCTGAGCTTTCAATTCTGTTCCCTTGATCTGTGTGTCTGTTTTTCTGCCAGCACTGTGCTGTTTTGATTACTATAGTTTTGTAGTATATTTTGAATTTACAATCACAACAAAAGTAATAAAACATCTAGGAATAAATTCAACCAAGGAGGTGAAAGACCTGTATACTGAAAACTATAAAACATTATTGAAGGAAATCAAAGGAGACATCAAGAAATGGAAAGATATTCCATGCCCTGGATTAGAAGAATAAACATAGTTAAAATGTCTATATTACCTAAAGCAATATACAGATTAAAGGGAATCCCAATCAGAATCCCAATGACATTCTTCACAGAAATAGAACAAAGAATCCTAAAATTTATATGGAACACCAGAAGACCCCAAATAGCCAAAACAATCCTGAGAAAAAAGAATAAAGCTGGAGATATCACAATCCCTGACTTGAAAGTATACTATGAATTCTTACTTTTGATGAAGTCCATTACGTCTTTTTTTCCTTCTATAAGGTTGTTTTATTTTTGTGTCTTGTCTAAGAAATTAGACAAAATCACAAAGATTTTCTCCTGTGTATTCTTCTAGAAGTTTTATAGTTAAAAATTTTACATTTAGATTCATTTTGATGAGTTAATTTTTGTACATGGTATGAGTTGTGGGTGTTTTTTTGCATATGGATATTCAACTATGTGTACACCATTTTTTTAAAAGACTATGATAACATGTTTGTGTTTGACACTGGCTGTTAGCTGAGACCCCATCTGGTGTTTCTACTATATCAACAATATGTGGTCTCTCCATTTGGTCTGGGCTTCCTCACAGGATGCCTTTGACAATATAGTCACATGTCTTACACAGAAGCTCAGGGCTCCAAATGTAAATGCTTTAGCCAACAAGGACAAAGATGCATCACCATTTATGACTCAGTTGTACCCTCCCTTCTGCCATGCTCTATTGGAGTATGCCATGCCCTATTGTGGTTGCAAGGCCACCCAAGTGCAATAGAAATGAACAGGAGGAATATGAAGGCCACACTCAAGAAAAGTATGCCAGATGAGTAACATCATTGAGGTCTTCTTTAGAAAATACAATCTGCCACACTATGCCTTTTTATATTACTATGCCTAATTCCAGAAACTCATTAGAAGTTGTCTTATTTCAAAACGTCTGAGAAAAGAGGCTTTTTGGACTCCTGGACAACATGAACTCCTCCGAGGCAAGATTGGCCTTGAGGAAAAGAATAGACTCATCTGCATAACTGAATCCTGATAGAGGGGTGAGATATCTCAGGGAAAGTGTAGCTTAATGTTTTTTCCTGAGGGTACTTTTATGTGGTTGCAGAATTTTATGATCCCTTGGTGTATTAGAGATGTGAAGACTGAAGATGAAAAGAGGAGAAGCATATCTGTGTGATGACTCCTATTCTCAGTTTGTACCTCTCCCCCAGTATCGCACAGCTAAGAAAAGGGATGTGACCCTGATAGTTTTGGTCCTAGTCTTTCCCTTCACACCCATATGCAGGCTGGGCAGAGGACTATGGACCTAGATCTGTCATCTTCTCGCTCATCAGGAGAGCAGAGGGTGCAATAAGATGCACTCACTTTACAAATTGCTGGACCTTCAGCTATAATCTCAGGATAGTTGTTTTCTTCCACATAGGGCAGATCCATCTTATTTTTGCAACAACAACAAAAAAAGATAAGGTAATCGAATGTTCAAGTAGAAGCTATCAAAGCTTACTAAGAGAAAAAGAGTAAGAATTAGCTTTGGGATTGTTGGTGAAAAATAATTCAATGAAACATATAAAATATCCCTTCTATGGCTTTACCTTTACAAACCCACATATTGTTGAAGTATATACTTCTTGTAAAACAGCCATTAGCTGAGATTTGTGTTTAATTAAGAATTGCTTCCTAACTTCAGTTATTGTCCTCATCTTTGGGGCTCACTTTATGGAATGTGAGCAGTCATTATTAGGTGTGATTTAGAATGACTAGACTTTCAGAGCAATATTTCCTTGACCCTATTACTCCAGTTTACATAGAATCAGTGTTTGAGGTGGCTCAATGGTCTAAACCTTTATTCCAGAAACAGTCTAGCTGACAGAACTCCTACCTCTTCTGGGACTGGAACCATATGTGATTTCAATTTGAGTTTCTGAAGGGGGCTGAAGCTTGAAAAATGTGGAAGTTGCCCTTGCTCAAGAGGAGAGAAGGATCCATAAATTTATTTACCCAGATGATATATCCCCTGAGTATGAGAATAAGAACAGCTGGTTACTGGAGGAGGTGAGGGTGTTGGGATTGGGGTCAGAAAAGTTGGATTCCCAGGATATCTCAGTGGGTAATCCAATGCAGCACAAGCACTTTATATCATAAGTGAAAAGCATGACACAGGAAACAAGAATGAAATCATCTTAGATGGAAATAGGCATCCATTCCAATCCGTAAAGAAACGTGAAAATAAAATTTGTAAACAGTAATAAATTTAAACTCCCCTAAAGTAGAAAAAATCAGTGGTGTGACACAAATTGAAGGGAGTCTATTTTGAAAAGCCAAGAGATGATAATGGATGGGCACACGCTTTACATTCTGCATCACCAAAATGTACCACCTCCCCTCACAAATTAAAAGAAATGGAGAAAAAAATAAACACTGAAAGAATGAGAATGAATGAAACATCTTAACCCACCTTTGGAAATAAGAAAACAGGCAGGTTAATAGACGGAGCAGGCAGAGACACTGAAGCCTTGAGAATGCTCAGAAGAAGCTACAAAGTGAGGGGAAGCCAATTCACTTCAAAGAACTCTGGAGAGTCTCTGAGCTGAGAGGCAGCAGGTAAAGCAAGAGGCAGGAGGGAAAAGTGGGACTGAAAACCAGAGGATTAATTGAAGGTCAATAAATGTGTACTGCAGATCACTGAACCAAATAAAATGACCACACCCATTATGTATCCAGGAATGCAGAGCCCCCAGGGAGCAGGTCTTTGCTCCTAAGGGAAAAACCTGGCCTACATGACTTTAGATAAGTTAAACGAAGTGTTCAGAGAAAACTAAAATGTCTAGGGTGCATTTTGACACAAAAGAATAGAGCTGTCTTGATTGTGATAATGGAAGCTTGTAAAGTTCAACCTGTCATCTTTTGCTTCTGGCTATCATTGGCGTATCAGGAACTAATTTATCCTATTTCATTCAAGAACTGAAAAGCTAGACAAAATATATGGAACAACTAACGGTTTTCAGACATTGACAAAAGGCAGAGCTGGACAGTGATCCTTGAGAGAAGTAAGACAAGTGAGATGAGATCTGTGATTTTCCAGGCTATTGAAGAGAGTTTCCAGGCTGCAGAGCAGGGAGAGTGTCTTGGTCAGCTCGGGCTGCTATGATGGAAAACCATAGACTGAGTGTCTTCAACGGGAGAAACTTGTTTCTCACAGTTCTGGGAGCTGGGAAGTTTAAGATCAGGCAGACCTAGCCTCATCTCCATGTCCCACTACCAACTGTTACTTTTCTAAGTTTGCTTCTTTATCCCTATGTGTGTGTGAGAATCAAACCAGATAAGATATGTAAAGCACTCAGGCATATTGTAATGCCAAATACATGTAAGTTTTTCCATATTCATCTTTATAGTCCCCACGCCATTTTCATATTATGAAAATTTAATCATAAACATATTTTTAAAAAGTTTTACGTCTGTTGAGACAAATGGCTAAATAAAAAGGCCAAAAAGACACGTTTCTGTAGCTCAAACAGTTCAAAACTTATTCTTATAATGATCATTTTTTCTTCAATCCCTCATACATTTCTCTTAAAATATAGAACAAAATATTTCTCCAAAAGTACTTTATTACATTCTCCTTTATTTTAGTTAGTAAAAGAAATCCCATTTTAGTTATACTGAAACTTGTTTTTTACCCTAGCAGCTTTAATCGCTTGCACTATGTTTAATGGCGAGGATGATGTGTATAAGGGAGCAGATGCCAACTTTCGGATGCCAAGAGAACTTGAAAGACCACATACCTGTTAGACAAGCATCAATTCATTAAGGACATCATATGAGACAATTTTACAAGACAATTAAGACAAAAATAATAATAATTTAATATCACCACCAAATACTTCAAAGAAGCGACTTTTTTAAAACAAATCTTTAATCATGTTGATAGCACATGTATTAAGTGAACATAGCAATAGCAATTAAGGCAGCCATGAATATCCTCACTGTTGGGAACTATATAGAAGTAGGAAAAACTAGTGTGCAAAAACAATCCTGTGTGCAGATTTCTAGAGCAACATTTTCCCACCATAATACATTAACATCAGCTTTATAAGGACTGCAAATTACTATAAAGGAGACACAGTATAAAATATTTTAGTTTTTAAGTATATTGATTTGAATAATTAACCAGCTTATAATAATAATAAGATATCTGCATATTACTTTATAAGTTACATCTACATATGATAACTCCTGCAATTCTCAAGAGAACTCAAACTGAGTAGGTTTGATTGTTATTCCCATTTTCCAACTAAGTTCGCTGAGATTCAGAAACACAAAGTTACTTGCCTAAAATAACAGACAGAATACAGAAAAGTCATATCTCACACTCAAGTCTCCTGTTGCAAACTTCTCTGTCATGTGTTTGACGGTGCAGTGCCATTGACTGGTGGATGTCCACACAGAGAAAACGTTCAACTGCAACATTAGAAAATTCCGTAATGCCTAACTTTTTAAAAATCTCCTCATAACTGCCTTCAGAATATGTGTCAGATTCCATGGCATTGGATAGGGGGCCATGGAAAGCATGTTTCCGCCATTTAGATGTAATTATGACGCCATTGTTCTGACTCTATCAGAGCTAATTGAGTTCCACAACTGCCCTTATCATTGTCATTGATGCAGAATATATCAACAATTCATGTCCTTCAGGGCAGTCCAGACTTATTTTTGTAAAACAATTCACAAGCTGAGCTAGGCAAGCCTAAAATCTTTGCCATTTTGAACATGTGTTTGAAAGAATTTTTTCTATTATTCGAAAGCATTGGTTATACAAGGAGTCTGTTACTACCCTTCCCCAATCCAGGTAGCGGGAAACTAGTCTGAAACTACCTTGATTAGTGATTGCTCCCCAAGTAGATGCACCAGCGGGCTGCCATTAGTAGAATTCAGCAGAATTCTAACGCCTTGTCAGTGAAATGATGAGTACAAAGCTCACCACTACCAAGATCTTAATTAAACAAGGGAATAAAGGAATCACATAGATTTACACACAAATTTACTTTCTGAAGTAAGGCACCTGAGGAGCTGATATGTAGGTATTTCAGACATACTTGACCTGTGATTTATATATCTCCCTCTGAAAGAAGTTTGGAAGAAAAATAGAAACAGCTCCTTCTTTGTTTTTCGTTTCTCTCTTTTGTTCTCCTTCCAAATATTTAATAGGAATCTGGTCTTAAGTTTGTAAAAAAGCAAAATGGTGGTCCCTACCAACTCTGGAGAAGATATCCACGAGGCATAGTTGCCCGTTTACCCAATGTCAGCAAAGGCTTTCAAGGACCCTTCCATGTGTTCTACATAGCGTTTTCGTTCCCTTCACCAAACTTTCACCACCATTTCCACCCTGCTGATTCTTTATGACTACTTAAATCATCTTTTTCCACAAGGCTTTTCGAGGTGCGCCATCAAAATTAAATCTCCTTAACTTATTATCTGATGTGCTTGTCTGTTTATTACAGTGTTAGATTTGTATGAATCTCCATCTACATCAACATCTAGATCTGCATCTTTCTCTCTAACTACATCTGCCTTTCCTGTTTCACTATTTCACTTGACTGTAAGTCTCTAAGATCTCTTCTACCTCCAATTGTGCCTGGCACATAGTATTTGTCAAGCTGGACTGAAAGTCATATAGGCTGGAATTGTGAATTTTCCCACTAATTGTCAAATGTGTTTGGCTCTGTAAACATAATGATTGATTACTAGACTTTCTGAATCGAGCTCAGGCTAGATATATTTCAGATTAAATCAGTAACATACTGCCAGATTTCACATCGTAAAGTGGTTTTGACTAAATTATCTTAAATATATAGAGTGTTTTGGAAGTAGACTGCTCCAAACTTACTTGCTTAGGGGGCCCAAATCTCCAGGTGGGATTTCAGAAGCCCATGGAATGAGTTTTTCCTTGTTCTCCTGCTTACTTTCTTTGTGAACACAAGAAAGTTACTCGGAATCCCTGAGCAAAACAGAAGCAATAACATAGTACTCATAGCCTAGCAACTTCTCAATATCATTACGTGTTAATATCTATAGAGTGCTTTCTGCTTGTGAGATGGAGAGGGGCTTTGTAAAAACAAGCTGTTACTGGCATCATTAAGGCAATACCTACTGGAGCAGGGTCACATAGGCCAACAATTGGCACTAGTTCTATAACTCTCTGAAGAGCTAAATTATCCATGACTAGAAATAATTTTAATAATGTGTGTTCAGGGCAACCTCAGTTAACCAACACGGATCTATAGCCCTCAAGCAACAGCTTTTCCCCAAACTGAGAAGGCCCACATCCTTCTCAAGCAACAATAACAATTAAAACAACAATTAACACTTACTTAGAGCTTATGACATACCAAGAACACATCTAAATGTTTTACATGCAATGACTCAATTAATTCTCACAGCAAGCCTGTGAAATAGACATATTTATTATTCCCATTAGTTAGATGAGAAAAATGACACGGGGATCTTAGGTAAATTGATGAAAGCAGCTTAGAAACTGCATACACAAGTTGTAGACATAGGCAATCTGATCCAAAGCCCAGGATTTTAACTATCATCTTTATCCAGTTAAAAGGGCAAAGGATGAGGGCTGTGGGAGGAAAGAAAGTCTGTTCCTCTTCACCTGTGGCATCGGCAAAATTTTTCACGTGATTCATGGTTTTGAGGTTGGACAGCACACAAGTTATGGAAGTGAAAGAAGTAGAGGCCACAGCTGTGGTCCTGGAAGGATATGAAGGTGGGAAGCAGACAGCATCTCCAGTCATCCCCTGTAAGGTGACCACATGCTTCCTAGACTTCAGCTAACGCTGCTAATGTAGCACTTAGTGCAATCACGGGATCAGCTCCATCCTAATCTCTGCCTCACCAAAAGTTTCAGCTCAGTCTATTATTAACTAGGAAAAGATACGACAGCAAAATGCATCCATGCGTTCACAAGTTATTCCAGACTGATCTCATTTACTTTTCAATAGAATTCCTAAACTAGTAGATAAAAATAAGTCATAAAGTTAGAATACCTGGAATTCAGCAAAGGTTTTAGATAAGAGACTCAAATGTAGGCTGATAATATCATAGGTAAATGGCTCTGGACCTTTTTGAAGGACCAGTGAGGGCTCATTAATGAAAAGCAAGGTCAGTTTAATGGAATGTATCTAGTTTCATGCTGCAGAAGCTTTTCCTGTCATCTTCGATGTTTCTCTCAGTAATTTGGATGAGAACACAAAAAGCAAGTGTATCTAACTTGCAGATTTCAGGAAGCTGGAGGATAACCTGACAGCTGAATGACAGAACCTGAAACCAAAGAGTTTAGCAGGCTGGGACGAAGTATTAAAATTAACAAGATCTAAACAGGGCTTGACTCTTTCTGTGTAGCTGTGGAAAGGAGGCCAAAATTGGCCAGTAGAAATTATTTAAAGACATATTTCAGTTTAATATGAAAAAAACGTTTACAGCAATTAGTAGTATTTAAAATATTTTAAAATAAATATCTGAAAAGGAAAGTTAAATAAAAGACCTAGCCTAGGAAGTATTATATTAGACATTTAGTTGACTGAATGGTTCTCTCTAATAGAGCACTGAATGGTATATAGTTTTATAAGGATGTTTCACATATTTTTGTATGTCCAAGTATGCCATCGGAAAAAGGGAGAACATTAGCATCTCTGTAGTTCAGTAAGATTCTTGAAAGAATCAACACAAATTAAAAAACAGCTTATAGCATTTTCAGAACTCATGAAGCCTAAACCAGGTACACAAACTACAGCAAATTTTCCACACAATAGCAGCACTGCCTGCATAAAACTATCCAATCATGCTCCTCTATATATACAGGTAAAGCACTGAATGAAGAGAGCATCCAGGAAAGTGCAGAGGTCAAAAGGACCTCAGTTTTCCTCTGTTTGAACTTCGCTTAATGTGCTATTCCTTCTACTGCATATGAGACTCCCCATAAATTTGGGGGCTATTTTTAAATCAGTTTATACCACTAGAAAAAAGGCAGGAAAAGATAGAACATTTTAGTAATAAAATTTAGCTTTTTTTGAGTCCAATTTATCACTGCCAACAGATTTTTTTCTGTTCATTTTTATTTTAGCTGATGTAACTTCTCAAGAGATTTTGTTGTCTTAGTTTTGCTTTAATTTAAAAGCTGTTGGTTTTTTCATTTCTCTGTTAGTCAAATCCTACTAATATCTTTCTTTTTGTTATTGTGGTAACATTGGTTTATAACGTTCTATAAATTTCAGGTGTACAACATTATATTTCAATTTCTGTGGATTACATCATGTTTGCCACCCAAAGACTAATTACAATTCATCACCACACACATGTACCTAACCACCACTTTCGCCCTCCTCCCTCTCTGCTCTGGTAACCACCAATCCACTCTCTGCCTCTATGTGATTGTTTGTTGTTTTATCTTCTACTTAGGATGAGATCACACAGTATTTAACTTTCTCCTTCAGACTTATTTCACTCAGCATAATACCCTCAAGGTCCATGCATGTTGTCACAAATGGCTGGGTTTCATCATTTCTTATGGCTGAGTAGTATTCCCTTGTGTATACATACCACATCTTCTTTATCCATTCGTCCCTTGATGGACACCTAGGTTGCTACCAAGACTTGGCTATTGTAAATAATGCTGAAAGGAACACAGGGGTGCATGTATATTTATGCATTCATCTCTTCATGTTCTTTGGATAAATACTCAACAGTGGAATAGCTGGATCGTATGGTAATTCTATTCTTAATTTTTTGAGGATTCTCCCTACTGTTTTCCAGAATGGCTGCACCAGTTTGCACTCCCACAAGCAGTGTATGAGAGTTCCCTTCTCTCTGCATCCTCTCTAACACTTGTGTTTCCTGTCTTGTTAATTATAGCCATTCTGACAGGAGTAAGGTGATATCTCATTGTAGCTTTGATTTGCATTTCCCAGATAGTTAAAGATGTTGAACATCTTTTCATGTGTCTGTTGGCCATCTGTACATCTTCTTTGAAGAAACATCTGTTCAGATCTTTTGCCCATTTTTTTAATTGGGTTGTTACTTTTTTGTTGTTGAGATTTATGATTTCTTTATATATTTTGGATATTAACCCCGTATGAGATATTTGGTTTGCAAATATCATCTCCCAATTGTTAGACTGTCTTTTCGTTTTGTTGATGGTTTCCTTTGCTGTGCAGAAGATTTTTAGTTTGATGTAGTCCCATTAGTTTATTTTTTCTATTGTTTCCCTTACCCACTCAGACATGGCACTTGAAAATATGCTGCTAAGACAGATGTCGAAGAGCATGCTGCCTATGTTTTCTTCTAGAAGTTTCATACTTTCAGGTCTCACATTGAAATCTTTAATCCATTTTGAGTTAATTTTTGTGTATAGTCTATGAAAACGGTCTACTTTCATTCTTTTCATGTGGCTGTCAAGTTTTCCCAACACCATTTATTGAAGAGACTCTCCTTTCTCCATTATATGTTCTTGGCAACCTTGTCAAAAATTAGCTGTCCATAGACATGTGGGTTTATTTCTGGGCTCTCGGTTCTGTTCCATTGATCTGTGTGTCTGCTTTTGTGCCAGTACCATGCTGCTTTAATTACTATAGCTTTGTAGTATATTTTGAAACCAGGGAGTGTGATACCTCCAGTTTTTCCTTTTTCTCAAGGTTCCTTTGGCTATTTGGGGTTTTTTGTTTTTCCATATAAATTTTAGGATTCTTTGTCCTATTTCTGTGAAAAATGTTATTGGGTCTTTGATAGGGACTGCATTGAATCTGTAGATTGCTTTAGGAAGCATGAACATTTTAACTATGTTAATTCTTCCAATCCAAGAGCACAGAACATCTTTCCATTTCTTTGTGTCTTCTTCAATTTATTCCAACAATGTTTTATAGTTTTCAGTGTACAGATCTTTCAGCTGTTTGGTTAAATTTTATTCTTTTTGTTGCAATTGTAAATGGGATTGTATTTTTAATTTCTCTTTCTGCTACTTCGTTCCTAGTGTATAGAAATGCAACAGATTTTTGTATGTTGATTTCGTATCGTGTAAATTTATCATTTTCATTTATTATTTCTAAAAGGTTTTGGTGGGTTCTTTAGGCTTTATATATATAAAATCATGTCATCTGCAAATAATGACAGTTTCACTACTTCCTTTACAATTTGGATCCCTTTTATTTCTTTTGCTTGCCTGATTGGTCTGGCTAGCACTTCCAATAGTATGCTAAATAAGAGTGGTGAATGTGGGCATCCTTGTCTGGTTCCTGTTCTTAGAGGATTAGCTTTCAGTTTTTCCCAACTGAGAATGATATTAGCTGTAGATATGTCAAATACAGCCTTTATTATGTTGAGGTACTTTCCTTCTATACTCATTTTATTCAGAGTTTTTACCATAAGTGGATGCTATCTCTTGTCAAATGCTTTCTCTGGATCTATTGAGATGATCATGTGATTTTTATTCTTCATTTTGTTAATGTAGTGTATCATGTTGATTGATTTGTGGATGTTGGACCATCCCTGCATCCCTGGAATAAATCCCACTTGATCACAGTGTCTGATCTTTTTAATGTATTGTTGTATTCAATTTGCCAGTATTTTGTTGAGGATTTTTGCATTGATGCTCATCAGTGATATTGGCCTGTAATTTTCTTCTTTTGTGTTGTCCTTGTCTCGTTTTGGTATCAGGGTAATGTTGGCTTCATAGAATGAGTTAGGAAGATTCCTCTCCTCTTCAATTTTTGGAAGAGTTTGAGAAGAGTACAAATTAAGTCTTCTTTGAATGTTTGGTAGAATTCACTGGGAAGCTTTCTGGGCCTGGACTTTTATTTTTGAGGATGTTTTTGATTACTGTTTCAATCTTACTAGTGATTGGTCTATTCAAATTCCTCTTGATTCAGTTTTGGAAGGTTGTATGATTCTAAGAATTTATTCATTTCTTCCAGATTATCCAATTTGTTGGCATATAGCTTTTCATAGGGTTCTCTTATAATCTTTTCTATTTCTGAGGTGTCCATAGTAATTTCTCCTCTTTCATTTATGATTTTATTTATTTGAGCCTTCTCTCTCTTTTTCTTGATGAGTCTAGTTAAAGGTTTGTCAATTTTGTTTATCTTTACAAAGAAGGAGGTCTTGAGTTCATTGATTTTTTTCTATTGTTTTTTAGTCTCTATTTCATTTACTTCTGCTCTGATTTTTATAATTTCCTTCCTTCTACTGATTTGGAGCTTTCTTTTTTCTTTTTCTAGTTCCTTTAGGTGTACTGTTAGATTGCTTACTTGAGTTTGTTTGTTTGTTTGTTGAGGTAGGCCCGTATTGCTGCAAACTTCCCTCTTAGAACCACTTTTGCTGTATCCCATGTCATATTTAGGCATGTCATATTTTCATTGTCATTTGTCTCCAGGTATTTTTTTATTTCTCCTTTCATTTCTGCATTGACCCAATCATTGTTCTGTAGCATTTTGTTTAATCTCCACATATTTGTGGCTTTTCTGATTTTCATCCTGTAGTTGATTTCTAGTTTTATTTCTTTGTGGTCAGAAAAAGTGCTTGGTATTATTTCAATCTTCTTAAATTTATTGAGAATTTTTCTGTGGTTTTGTTCTGTTCCCTTGCTTGGAATGTATTCCTTTGCCTCCTCATTTTGCCTTTTTCTCTGTACTTATATCTATGTATTAGGTGGGTCAGCTACATCTTCTGATCTTGGAGAAGTGGCCTTATGTGAGAGACGCCTTCTGAGTACCAGTAGTGTGCTTCCCTCTCATTTGGAACTCTCACTAGTTCCAAATGTTCCAGGAGTGACCTCTGTATGGGTTACATGTGTCCTTCTGTTGTGGTAGGGTTGTTCTTGCTGCAAGTGCCCAGAGAGGCAAGGTGTCCCCTTGGCCAGCTGGTTGTAATGCTCAGCTGCATGTGGCTGCTATGGACCCTTCAGTCACTTTATCAGGTGTGGAGAGCCCCAGTGTAGTTGGCTGCAAGGTCTAATAGCACATTCCTGTTGCAGTTTTTCTGTTAAGTGAGTAAGCAACCCACCATGGCTAGTTGCTAGGCTTAGGGGCTTACAATTGTGGAAGGCCTCCAGCCTGTGAGGCTCTTTTCAGCTCTCTCAGGATTGCAGCTGAGTGAGGCTGGCCTCAGGCATGGGAGCACCCGATTGTTTCAGGCTTTGGAAGGTGGGGCTGATCCCCTATGAGGCTGTTTGAGAAGCAAAAATCTTTTGCAGCTGACAAACCCCATAGCCACACACCATCAACACAGTCCTTCCCTGTGCACATACCCCAACCCAATGAAGCAGACCCACTCACCCTGCTGCAGAGAATCTAGGCACCCAGCCTATGCAGGCCCACAAGTTCCCTGAAGGCTTGCTGTTGTGTGGGGCCAGTCCCTAGGGCAAGCTGCCTGCTCTGGATGAGCTGGATTAAATCAGTGCTGCAGTGGGTGGGGCAGACTCTGGGCTAACAGGCCAGGGGAAGGACTCCAATTGCGTCTGCCAGCGTTTGTGTCATCATGCTTGTATTAGGTCACAATAATGGCTGCCACAAATGTCTCAGTCCCTGGAGAGGTCTCACCTCTCACCAAGATACACCCAGAGCCTATCAAGTGAGTCTCTTTTCACCAAAGGACCATACACCTTTCTTTCTGGTGATTTTAGGTTGCTTTCCAAAATGGGTGAATTTGAGTGTGGGCCTTCTAAGATTGGCATATTTTCCCTTATATTCAATAGCTTTTCTGGGGAAATTCACTATTATAGTTAGTAGCCAGCCATGCCAGATTTTATGACACTTGTCTCAGTTGTGCTGTGTCCAAAGGATGCTTGTAATGGTGACACTCCCCTGCTCAGTTACCTCACTCCTCCAGAGAAGGCTGTGTACCTTAGGACTGCTCCCAGCCAGCTAGGAAGCTCCACAGCTTGCAAAGGTGGCTTTTATTCTCTCCAGGAAGGAATTTCTGTCTCTTCCACCTCAGTCAGGACAGCCCTTTGTTGTGGGGGTTCTTCTTATCCAGTTTTCAGTTCTCTCTCAGGGGTAATTGTTCCCAGAGTAGGGGTAAATTTGTTGTGTCCATAGTGAGTTCAGAGTCCACCTATGCCATCATCTTGACTAATTCACCTCAATATGTTTATTATGTGTGTTTTGGATAATTATATTGGCTTTAAGAGTTTAGAAAATATTATTATGTTTAAAATTACCTAAGAGTAGATTTTTGCTAGTATATTAGAACTGATTTTAAAAGAAATACTGAAAACATCTAGGTATATTGGAGCTATGGTTAATAATTACTATGAATTTTCAAAGATCCAAAAATTCTAAAACTACAGTGTATTCCAATGGGTAAAATAGAAAAAGTGATTTTAGAGTGCTCTATAATTGAATTTCCATAAAATAACTGGTATGACTCCTTCTACCATCAAATATGTGAGCATTCCAATTTAAAATGATGAAATGAATTAAGACTGTGCTCTAAACACATGAAATGATACATGCACAGACATATATGCACAGACACACACACACACAGAAAACCAAAAAGATGTATCTAGATTAAAAAAAAAAAAGATAAGCATCTCTGGTGGGGTCAAAATGTCTAAGAGGGAACAGGCTGAAATCAGGGGTTTGTTGACCCCAGGGTGCTGAAGCAGGCAATGTTATATGGGATTTTGGTCTTGCAGAGTAAAGGAAACTAAAATTGTCGCATATGAAATGGGGTTGGGGCATAGTGGAAGATGGGGAGAGTATTGAGAGTTGTACTCACTGTTTAAATCTGGGGGCTGAGTACCATCCATCTTCAACTTAAAGGGGCACTCATTCTTCATTATTACCCATAGTTATTATAAAATCTGATCAAAAGGAAACAGAGAGCCTTATAATCATGAAGGAGATTGTACTAGGTGCTTATGCAATTTATTCTGTGATATACCCAATATCATCTCATGCAGAAACTTCAAAGCTGAATTATAAGAGCTAGTGTTTGTTTGGGGGCCCAAAGGTACAGAGGGAGACAGTTACAAAATTGATACATGGAAATAGGAAGAACAAAGAAAAGAGGGAAGAGAGAGATTTAGGGTGAAGCTTGAATAGGAAAGAGAGAGAGTTGGAATAGGACAGGGAAGAAGATGGAGAAGGAGAAAGAAATGGAAGAAGAGAGAGAAATACATCTATATATATATATGTACACACATAGAGAAGTGAGAAGGAAATAGAATATTGTCTTCAGAGTGCTGAAGGGAAATAACAGTAAACATATAATATAAATAAATAAATATAAAATATAAATAATATAAATATAATAATCAGTCAGTCATGAATGAGAGTAAAACTAAGATATGTAAAGACATAAATTCTAAAAGGGTTAGCCATTCGTAGATCCTCATTAAAATATCTAATGAAGTATATACAAGAGGAAGAATGAGAGATAATAAGAAACAATGACAAGCACTGAAAAGGGTTTAAAATATTGATAAATTTAATAAAATACAGTAAACATAATGTTTTCTGTGTGTGTGTCTTGAATTACAACATTGAAATTCTTAACGAGATCAATAGGGTTGCTTGATTAATAGATAAAGCAGGCTTATTGTGGCTGATGGGAGGAGGTTTCTTTTTTTTTTTTTTTAAAGATTGGCACCTGAGCAAACAACTTTTGCCAATCTTCTTTTTTTCTGCCTTTTCTCCCCAAATTCCCCCAGTACATAGTTGTATATTCTAGTTGTAGGTCCTTCTAGTTGTGGCATGTGGAATGCCGCCTCAGCATGGCCTGATGAGCAGTGTCATGTCCCTGCCCAGGATCTGAACCAGCGAAACCTTGGGCCGCCGAAGCACAGAGTGTGAACTTAACCACTCGGCCACAGGGCTGGCCCCTAGGAGATTTCAAATACTATTCAGTTCACTAGAAATATTTATGATTGAAAATATCTGTTAAAATGGAAAAATAATCAAGACAATTGAGCTTGCAAATTACTGAAGAAAACATTATATGGCACTTTATCAATCCAAGACAGAGAAAAATAGAAAATATGAAAAATAAGAATAATGATGTCAAAGACTAACTATTCTGACATGTTAAAATGGTAAGGAAGACTTTATTCAGCATTATTGCAACAAGTATCAAGACTATTGCAATAATGGAGAGAGACCAACCTCAACTCCTAATAAGGCAAAGACAGCTGGAGATTCATAGCCAACAAGCAGAGTGAGGGGGCCAGTGGATGGAAATTATTAAGAGGAGACATTAAGGGTATGGGGATTCTTGCTAAACTGACTTAGGATTGTTGCTGAATGCAGGCTAAGGGAATAAGTATCAAAGACGGAGGATGAAGAATTTGATTAGATATGGAGGATGACCAGATATCAAGGTTTGGGGGCTTCTTCTTAAACTGATTTAGCAGGATTCTTGCTACTGGACTAGGCAGGCTGAAGATAGAGCCCAAGGACAAGGCCTAGTCAAAAAGAGGGTTCAGAGGAGCCTGACTAAAGTTTGTCAAGAAGAGAGGCTTTATCAGTAATAATAATCACAGTAATAAAAGATGGTAAACAAAAAGCATAAAATAGATGATACAAATTAGACAAAATATTTTAATTGTCACAATACACATATGTATTAAATTCATCTATTAAACTATCTGTTATCTGATTACATTAAAATTTAGCTACGATGATGATTTTGAGAGTCATCTTAAATAAAACTATGCAGGAAGGCTGAAAATAAAAGGATGGCAAAACATATTCCTAGCAAATGGCAAAGTAAAGTAAAGATGGTAGAATAATGTTATCGAAGAAAGCAGAATTTAAAGCAGAAAAAAATTTTACTAATAAGTAAAATGAGGGACACAAAGAGAAACATCAAGAACTTACAAAATCTATGAATCTGAATTCATGTAACAGTGTTGCCATAAACTAGAAAATGGAATTGTATTTTTATAATTTTTGTTATGGAAAGGAGACTTCTATTAGTGTTCATGATGGAATAAGAGGGACAAAATCTACCTTCCTGCTTTACACAACTAAAAAACTGGATGAAATATATGAAATAATGATGTCCAACCATTGTACAATGAAAATCACAGGATAGTTATCCCTCAGAGATGGGAAATAAATGAGATGAGTCATGATTTCTTCAACTATGGACTGGGGAGAGTTTCCAAGCTGCAGCACAGGGATGGGAACTCAACAGTCTGGCGCTTTTGCAGAAATGAGGATAGCCAGTTTGGAGTTCAAGGAGATCTGGGTGGTTACAATTGGCGGGGGGTGGGCGGGGGGAGGTGGGTAAAATACTGGAGAGGATGAAGCTGCACAGAGAAAAAAATCCAGAAAGATAATCTTGAATCTAAATTAGCTGAATTCCAATCTGCGTATGTATGGAAGAAAGCTACATAAAACTGAGGAAAAAGCCAGTGACAGAAAATAGGCAGAATAATCCTGGAATTCAGATAGTGTTGGTAACAGTTTAAGGACCAAGCAGCAGGAGTGAAAAACCCTCCTGGTACACAGGGCATCAAGCATACTCCTAAGAAGAGTATTGACTCAGTAATTCAACCATATTAGACCTAGACCAAACGTTGCTCTGGATGCATCCAAATAGAGCTTAAAAGTAAGTCTTGAAACAATCAAACTGATAACAAGTAACCTAACTGCATGCCAGAGCAACATCCAACAATATTTAACGGACTGTAACAAAATCTAGCCCATAACAATGTAAAATTCACAATTTCATTCAACATCTATCAAAAACTAGTAGGCATGAATTAAAGCAGGCAAATACCACCTATGACCAAGAGAGAAAGCAATAAGTAGAAATAGAACAGAAATGAAAGAGATGATATGACTAGCAGAAAAAATGGTCACAAATTTCCTGAGATTCTTTCTTTCTCTTAAAATCGAGCATAATGGCAAAAGAATAGAAATAGATCAGTGGAATGGAATAGAGAACTCAGAAATAGATCCAAGTATGTCTAACTTATTTCTTACAAAGGTGCAAAACAATTCATTAGAGGAAGGGTAGCCTTTTCAACAAGCGGAGCGGGAGCAATTGGATATCTTTAGGCCATAAAAAGAAAAAGAAAAGAAATTTTCCCTAAACCTCACACATTATACAAAAAATAATTGAAAATAGATCATGGACTTAAATATAAAACATAAATCTAAAAAACATAAAACTAAAAAAAATTTTAGGAAAAAATCATGGGAGAAATTCCTCCAGATACAGGGCTAGACAAAGAGTTCTTAGATTGACACCAAAAGCACAATCCATAAAATGACTATTGGTAAATTGGATTTCATCAAAATTAAAAATTTTGGCTCTAGAGAAACTCAATTAAGAGTATAAAAAGACAAGATACAGAGTAGGAGAAAATATTTGTAAAGTGCATATATCCAACAAAGAACTCGCATCTTGAATATATAAAGAACTTTCAAAACCAGTGGCAATATAAAGAA